CCCGATTTCAGACATGCTGCAGGAAACATGGAATTCGACGGATGACTCCGATTATAGGCATATCGATGAACCAGCTGCTTATCAGGCCCCATGCGAACAACTTAATCGCACCACCGAAGGTCATTTACGGCGAAAGGTAGGTTACATATGGAGTGGGCTGTACAATAATTTTATTCCTTCGTGATCGGCTCGCGTAGGCTTTCGATGAATAAACACCTGGGCCTCGCATGTTTTCGATCATTCGTAATTATAGACCTCACAGGACAAGCACATGTTGGGCTTCATGCTATTTCCACAAATTATGAGCTCAGATATGATTTGTAAATAGGGCGGATTTTATATTTAATTTATACATACAAAACCCAGAAGAATATCCCTTTTTTCAGTCCAGATTAAAGAATACAGGGAATTCCCATGGTCAGACGGATAGAGATAAAGATGAACGGTTAAGCCCTCTGTGCCACTGCAGATGTTCTGTTGCTAGAATATGGGCGACATTCCTCATAAACTTATCAAAAATTACAATTAGATTATTTTATACTCCATAATCAAGGTCAAATCGATGCCTAAACATATAATCTTCACATTTTTTTGTAAATTTTCTCTGAAAAGTAATTTTCCCTTGAAGCTACAGTGCCTAGGACACTCATGCATCCGAAATGAAGCCTAAGTGCAACTTAATCTTCATTATATAAACTGGCAAATACTGTATTAATTTTTATTGCCAGCCGTATGTGTGGTAGTTAAATTCAAATCCACTTGCAATGGAAAATGAGTGTGACATAATTTACAAATAAGGCCGCTCGAGAATGATAAACATTTATCATTGTCAGCTTCTCAAGTGAACTCTAAACAATCTTGCTCAAGTACTATCGACGTCCAGTGGGCAAGTGTCTTCGACAACGACAAGCAAATAATGTTGACTAAAGTTTTCAAATAAAGTCCAAACTTTGGTTTTTTCCGTGAGCAAACACTTAGGTGACATGGTCCATAGTTTCATAACCACCATGAATGTACAAACCACATATGCCCATATGAGGTACAGGTTACTGCACAGTTTCCTTTACCAAAGACTTCAAAAACTATAAAAGAGAACCTGATATGGACAGCAATCGTCAACGTTTGCCAGCCATCGGCGATTTCTGTTCAAGCGTTTAATTGGAAGAGCACAAGCCTTATCCTGAGTAGTGAGAATAAACTTAATCTGTGACTTAAAGACATTGGGTATATTAATGCCCGGTGTCCAAACACAGCCTCCAACTTGGGTTGGCCTACGAGTTTGCTAAAATTTTCCAAACTTTAAGTAGGAAACGGGCGCCCGAAAGGTATACGGTACCTCCTTTTATCTACTAGTCACCTTACTTCTGAAGAGTTATGGAACATTCTTTGAACATCCTCCAGAAGATATTCTTATTGAATTATCCTGGATAAACGGTGACGATAATTTGTTTTCTCTCTATAATACTTCATACGCTTCAAAAACATGACCGTAAACAAACTCAATACCTTTCTTTGATATGCTAGACACATAATATAAACGAGCACGAAGTTACTTTGATAATCGCCCAGTTTATGACATTTACTGTTGGAATAAGGTAATCTCTGTGTAGGCGCGTATGATATCTAACAAAAAATCCCGAACAATGAGGGGTACTTATGAAGCTTGGATTAGAAAA